TACACAACATACATCACAGACTCGTTGGGGATCAGATACTCGAAACTTGACAGGTAACAAGCTTCGTCCTTTGGAGCATTCACCACAAAATATTCCTCCACAAAACCGACAATGATGCCGTGAGCACATGATAGGATGAAACCGCACACCACAAAGCATACAAGAAGTAGAAGAGCTATCAGGCAACCATTTTGGAGGCTCGGTTTCAAGCAATTCCTTTACATTACTAAAGTTGACCTCTGTGAGAGTTTGAGCCATCTCTCTCCAAGCTTGTTCAAGTACAAGGTTTGATATCCACGACAAATTACATTTATGAATATCTCCTGAAGCCAAAGAAGTCACTTTTCCCCGGGCCGCGAGTAGCATTTCTACTATCACATCCCACATAGTCAATTCCTTTTCTTCTCCAAGGTATTGATTCCATCCCAAGTCACCCTCTGGAAAATAGCCACCATTTGAGTGAAAACATCTAGCCCGCTCCTCGTGTTCACCTTCCAACATAGGCGGAACTGAAACCGGTATCCAAACTCCAGTATCTTCATAAAGCGGAGAATCATAATAGAAATATTTTCCTCTCCTCAGAAGGTTGCCTGATGTTTCTACATTTTCTTTATTTCTTTCCAATGTCTCTTCGGGCAATACAGGATACACCGAGGAAGTATTTATACTATCCTTTTCAAAGTCAGCAGTAGGAAAAGAACCATGGTTATCCTTGATAACATGGTCTCGCAGATTACCAATCATCTCATCGCCCTGTGAATAGTATCAAGAGAATACCTTATAAATAATAGAAAACTACAAACATTCAGTCTTAAAAGACAACGCACCATTAATTACCCAATGGTATGGTATTCCATTTAAGTGATTTTAATTAATTTATCTATACTGTTCTCTTTCAGTTTCGTATTTTAATGCGACATCCTCATCCTAAATAAAGATATTGCAAAAGACATCAGAAATTCAGAGTTAAATTCCATAAGCACAAAATCATAAACCCAGAAGCGACGCAAAAGACAAGAAATCAAAGAAATTTTCAGTCCACCCCATAGTAACAGAGACATGAAGGGGATGGGCACGGGAAGGAAACATACAGGAGGAGAACTGAGCGTCCGGTCGCCAAATGAGAAATCAGAAACCCTCGTGGACAAGTCTTCTACGCCTTCAACTTGATTCTTAGGTTTCCAATTGCCGTCCATCGTTCATAAAATCTATGAAGCACCAGATAAGGCAAATAACATCTCCATATGTGATCAGTCAAACGACAATTATGAATTTGCAGACATCTATTCAGCTGAGAAAACAAAATCAGTTGAGCGCAAAAGATCGAAATTTTCACAATAAACACGAAAAGGGTGCGATATAGAATTCGAGTTGGAGTTTCGATAGCGTATTGCAGCTCTCTTGGTCCTCGAGGGTTTACGCCTTCCTTGCGTACAGGCTCTGGACTCGTAATTACGTTGGCCTCGTTTCCAATTCTTATAATATTTATTATCATTAACCAATATTTAATATTTTTCATTATTTTTCATGTGATTAACCTTAACCTTTTCTCTGGGCCAAAATTCGAAAGTATGCATGATAACGCGCATAATTTGTTTTTATTAGATAAAAGAGATTAAAAAATGAACAGTTTAACAAAAATACTACCTCCACTCCTAATTATAAGAGTTTGTTGATTAATTTGAGGAGATTAAAGATAGAAGTTAAGTTAGTTATTTGTAATAAATAGGTAGTGTCTTTTCTAAAACATCCTTACTAATCAAATGTATTGGTTAGAACTGCCATTGATAAAAAGACTACCTTCAAAAAAAATATAAATATAAAAGATAAAATAAATTGAGATTTTATATTTACAATCAAAATAAAAATTAAACAAAATTTTATATTAAAAAGAAGAGGTAATAATTTACAATCGACTTATTTTTAATTATTGTCTGGATCCACTCGATTGCTCTTCTGGCGCCACAATTAAACCAAACGTTTTTTTTTTTTTTGGTTACTCAAACTAAACGAAATTTTTCGTGATCGATCAAAGTTGGTTGCAGAGCAAAATTGAAAATCTATGACGAAAATTCTAATGACATCAAACTAAATTTTTGTTAAGTGCTACAAATTTTAGTCTGTAAAATTAAATAAAATTTTTTCCGTTTCTTCATGAGTATGGACTTAAACAGAGACTTTAATTTCTTTGGTTAAAATTGCCCCTATTCTCACTATTTTTAGAAATACATTTAATTATGAAGAAAAAAATTATTTCTTAATTTATGATGCTAAATAATGGTAAATTAAAAATAATGTATTGATAATAAAATTAATAATTTAATCACCTTCATTAATTTTAGTGAGATGATTAAAGATGACTTATATGGAGAATAAAGCTAATGTAATTTAAAATGAGAAAAAAAAAATAAGTAGCGACTTTCACTTTGGCCTTAAGAAAAGTACTTTCGTCAAAATATTTCCGCATCTGTTCTAACCTGTTTCCCTTTCTTAAACGCTAATTTAATTCTTCTCAGCCTTTTTCTAATTATATAACCCATTTTTAATAAAACTTGATAATCGATAATTGATTTTGTAAGTCACTTTACATATAAAAAGATGAATTATTAACTACTTTTTTTCTAATTTCACTCTTTCATAATTTTTTACAGGTAGGTTGAGAGGGTGCCGATGAAAGCTAAAGATGATACATTTAACATAGGTAAATCATAGAATAATTAAATAGTGATTTAATTATCTCTTATTAATTTTCAATGACGGGGTTAAGAATGACTTGTACTAAATTATTCTTCTTTGTTTGTCAAAGACTTGCACTAAATTATTCGAGATGACTTAAAAATCACTTTTATATCCTATCATATAAATTCATAAATGATTTAAAATAAATTAAAAAAAAAACACAGAGTCTACTTTGGCGGTCCGCAAAAAGCCAAATAAATCCAAACGGTGCCGTTTTATCCAAGAGAAATAGCATTCCGCTTTCCATTCACGGGAGAATGATGGGTGTTCTGACCGTACACTGTCGAAACAGGCTTGTCTTCGCGCTTTCCGAGGCGAGGTCATCAGCTCTATTTTATGTTCGGCGAAGCTGGAAGTTCAAGTTCAAATCTTGACCCTTCCATTGAATCCATGGCGTTCTCTCATCCCATCTCCAAGACATCGATTTTGCTTCCCATCGTCTTCCTTATTCTCGGTTCTCTCTACCAACCCTCTCATGGGTTCTCCCGATACGGCCGTGGAATGCCGGAGAATAACTCAACGCGCCGCCTATTTGGATCGAGAGCTGCCAAACCCCTCAGCTGCGGCGACCTGGTGGTGCAATCCCAGTGCTTGCAGAACAAGTGTAGTTGGTGTCGCAGTGAGGTCCTAGACGACATGTGCTTCAGTAGAACCGAGGCTTGGAGATTGCCTCCGCAGGTTTTCTCTTGCGGTTGATCCGGTGAGGATCTGTTCACTTTGGATCTTTTAGGGCTAAGATCTGTGACGCCCCCTTTCTGCGAGTGAGTGTTAAGATTCCTTTCGGTTTGAAATTTTGGCCGGGGCTCTATACGCTGTTTTCCTTTTTTGGTTTTGGGTTTCTCTGACTGAATATGTCCAGCGATAGAGGAGAGATCAGTGGTGTACTTGATTTTGTTTTGTGCTGATTGAAATCTTTGAATGAAATTCAATTTGAAACATGGCTTTTGTAATTAGAATCTCAGAGGCAAATTGGGAATCCAGAAGCTTGAGATTTTTCTTGGTGAGATTCAGAGCTATGGACCCTAACCATTTTTGGAAATGGGTAGCGATCTGCAATTTCCTTTTGGTATGTTACTCTGTTTTGCAATGGCTCTACATGGGTGTTTGCATCCCAAACATGATGATCAACAGAAGCTCAACTTTGATCCATTTATGTGTAGCCGGAATTCTGTAACCTTGTAATGGGAGAACTTAATTAAAACTTCTGATAAACTGATCACATCCTTCATCATCTGTAGATTCAAAATTTTCTGTATATTTTGAGGATGCTTAGATATTTACTACTTTGAATTCATGAAAGGTTTGCTGATCTGTGCTGCAATGGGGTGGTTCTGAGAATAACATGTAATAGCAACCCTTTTGCAGTTTTGCATCCATGAGATTTCTTCCTAGATAATGAGGTAGGTAAAATTTTATCCTGAGATTTGAGAGGAATCAGTGCTCGGGTGCGTCAGAATGGTATGCAGAATTTTGAAGGGCAAGTGGTCTCTAGAGTGTATTTGCCTTTTTTTTAATATTTAAAATCTACAATAAATTATATTATTTAATATTAATGAAAACACTATGACTTACTATATACGGTTCAAGACAAAACGTGGCTGATTGCACATCATATTGTGATTTGTGCAGATCTTTTTCACCATTCTTTTTGAGATCATACATATTTTTAAAAATTATATAAATATATCATTTAATTAATTAATCCTGCCAAAAAATCACTTGTTAGCGTAATATTGTAAAATCTGAGGTTGATGGCGCAAAAACAGCACATAAGATTTGAAAATGAACTAGTTATGCCTGTAGACAGCACATTTTTGTCACAAGCGCGTACTACAAATTTGGGAAACGGACATTACAATGTGATTGTTGTTAAAGCTACGTTCGATGATTCTAAGAAGAAAATACCATACTGAAGAACAATGGCGTTACGATGCTCTAAGTTTTCTAGCTATAATACCAAATACCAATCGGTTCGGGCGTTGGTTCTTAAACAACTATTCGAGAAAAGGCGGAGATTAAATTCATTTACGTTGTCACCTTCTAACTTTATGTAAGATATTTGAAGACCTCTATCAGGAAGTTAAATGTAAGGCTACCAACTATAAACTATAATTTGGATGAAATGTGTACTTCAGCTAAATTAGCAACTAACATTGAATAAATGAATTTTGGTAATACAACATCGATTCCTACTTCCATTCTGTTTTTTCGATTTCACATTGAACATATTATTGTTCAACTCTTCAATCTGAAGCAAGAATTCTAAAAAACACAAACAAAAGAATTTGAAGGCTTTTCAGTAATCCAGAGCACATTCTTCGTCGGCAAGGTAGTATTTCACGGCCGTCCTCATATCATCGTAGTAGTCAGATACCTGAAAAAACCTTGTGAGTTTTTGCAGCTCTTGGTCGCGAAGATCGTCGACGAACGGCGGGATCGGAATCGCGTTATCGGGTTGGTTCTCGTACGAATTCGGGTTGTCGTCGACAATAACCACCCGTTTCAAATCCCTCCCCATCTCAGACAAGTCCTTCACGAACTTCCCTTCCACCTGTTTGCACGAGTCCCGATAAAGCCGGTGCGAGATCAGCCCGTTCCGGTCGAGCCGGTCCAGCACCATGGACGCGTACTCTCTCAAGGCTGCGGTGAACACCACCACCTCGAACTTCGCGGCCAAGTATTCCAAGAATTCATCGACTCCCGGTCGCTTCAACACGTAGAAATTCATCATCACACCGTCGATCCTAGGCCTTACGACGAAATCGAACCTCTCCGGCGGCGGGTCCGTCTTGGAGTGGATCAGGGTCTCGTCCAGATCAAGAAAGATGGTTCTCTTATCAGATGAGATCAGGGGTGGAAGAGGGTTGTTGAAGACAAGGGTCTTTCTAATGTCGTTCAAGGATTCTTCGCAATGTTGTTCTTTGGAATGCATTTTCTTTAATTTTGTGTATCCTTTGTGACTATTCGGAGTGCCGGTCCGCGTGAATCTGGAGAAAAACTTTGAGAGGCGACGTCGGATGGAGGCCAGCACGGAGAAGGGGGCAACTACATGTTTGACGGGAGATTTTTGCCGGCGGCGGCGGCCGTTGCGGCTGTCCTTAATGGATTTCACTGGCGTTCTCTTCCTCCTCGACACCATCGCTGCAATCTTGGGAGTTAGAGAGTGAGAGAGATAGAGAGAGAAGAAGGCTTTCGCTGAACAGGAGGGACGAGAAGGGAGAAGATGAATGGTGGTGGGGCACAGAGGCAGGAATGAATTTAAAATCTTGGTCTGGTGCAACGGTCAACAGCAGGTTTGGACACCGAACCTACATATTTTTTTTGGGGGGGGGGTTTCCTAACGTCTGATTATTGTTGTGATTAAAGTGGTTTTCTGCATATGTTAACCAACATAATAAAAATAGGGGCCATGATGAATCTATGATGTCTGATATTGTTTGTTTCTTGAGACTGATCTTAGTTACAAAAGGAGAAAGTTGTTTGCACCTGCCTCCACGCAATTGTGAAACTTGGTATGTTTTGTTGTTGTTTGTCTTGTTTCATGTATGAGTTGTCCAAGTTTATCAACTGATTTGTTGGCAGAAAAATGTTCATCAACTGATTAGTAATTAATATACACGCGCGCGCGCACACGTGTGTGTGTGTGTGAATATGTCTGGGAGTAAGGCAGGAAAAGGTAATAACAAATTAACAATGAGGCTCTTCATTACTTTTAGGTGGTCAGACAACAAACGGTATCATAGAGGGGCACTTCATTACACAAAGTTAAAAGCATATATTTAACCAACGATGGTGGGTCTAACGAAAGGAATTAGTCTCTTATAACGTGGTGAATCAAGGTTTGAATCCCTGTTGGAAGAGGTGCTCACATTTAATGCCCGACAATACCTCAAATAGGATTGTCTCTAATAAGAAGATACTTATGCTTTAGCACAAAAAAAATATATATTTAGTATCCTAATTTATATAAAATTTTAATTTTAAAAAATATATTTTTAATTCTTTAATTTTAAAATTATTAGTTTTAAATGATTATTTTTAACAATTATGTTGTTTAAAATACTAAACTTAATGTGTTAACATTTGATCGTGTTTTATCAACAGTCAAAATCTTTATAATATCATGTTTTATCAACAGTTTTAAGATTAAAAAATTAAAAATATACTACTTTTTAAAGTTAATGAAACAAATTTAAATTTTATATAGAATTAAGTGACTATTGACCTTACATAAAATTATGGGAAAATTTCACTGTAGAATCGCAGAAGGCAATTTATATCAGTCAAGGACCAAAATTTTCTGAAATTTCACTGCAGGATCAAGGGACCAAATTGAAATTAAAATTTAGAGTGAAATTACAATAATACCCCTCCCTTTTATTTTATTAAAAAATAAATATTTACCGGAGTTACTGTTCTGGCCACCGGAGGACGGAGGTCCGGCCACCGGAGCTCAGGTGGTCGCCGTCGGGGTCCGACCACCGGTGGCTGGAACAGTAACTCCGGCCGGACCTCCGGTGGCCGGAGTTTTTTTTGTTTAAAACAAAGTGGCCAAGGGAGGGTTTGAACCCATGATCCCTTGGCACACCAAAAGGCTTGTAACCATCAAGCCAAGCAACTCATTCAATCATAAGATGCAAATAAAACTATATATAACAAAACAAACGTAACTGTCCAAATATAAGTGAACAAGTGAAATTAGACGATTTACAAATTAAATTCAGCAATTTGTAACAAAAATTAGGCAATTTACAAATAACATAATATAACTCATAACCCAAAATGCAAGTATTTAAGTGCAAATGAGCAAGTGAAATTTAAAGATTTACAATAAAAGTTTATGGATTTACAACCCAAATTTGGTAAACACAAGATAATTCACAACCCAAAATGTAAGTGTTTGAGTGTAAGTGAACAAGTGAAATTAGACGATTTACAAGTGGAATTCAGCAATTTACAACAAAAATTAGGCAATTTACAAATAACATAATAGAAATCATAACCCCAAATGCAAGTGTTTAAGTGCAAATGAGCAAGTGAAATTGTCGAATACTTGCATTTTGGGTTGTGAATTTTCTTGTGTTTCCCAAATTTGGGTTGTAAATCCATAAAATTTTGTTGTAAATCTTCAAATTTTACTTACTCATTTGTACTTAAATACTTGCATTTTAGGTTATGACTTCTATTATATTATTTGTAAATTGTCTAATTTTTGTTGTAAATTGCTGAATTCAACTTATAAATCGTCTAATTTCACTTGTTCACTTATATTTGGACAGTTGCGTTTATTTTGTTATATATAGTTTTATTTGCATCTTATGATTGAATGGGTTGCTTGGCTTGGTGGTTACAAGTCTTTTGGTGTGCCAAGGGATCATGGATTCAAACCCTCCTTTGGCCATTTTGTTTTAAACAAAAAAAAAAACTCCGGCCACTGAAGGTCTGGCCGGAGTTACTGTTCCAGCCACCGGTGGTTGGACCCCGGCGGCGGCCACCTGAGCTCCGGTGGCTGTACCTCCGACCTCCGATGGCCGGAACAGTAACTCCGGTAAATATTTATTTTTTAATAAAATAAAAAGGGAGGGGTATTATTGTAATCTCACTCTAAATTTTAATTTCAATTTGGTCTCTTGGTCCTGCAGTGAAATTTCAGAAAGTTTTGTTTCTTGACTGATATAAATTGCCTTCTGCGGTCCTACAGTGAAATTTTTCCAAAAATTATTGTGGAAATGTTTTTTAAAACAGTTTACGTTTTTTATTAAAAAAAAACCTGTGGCAGCACAGTGTATCAATCCAGCCCAATTTAGATTGGGCTCCAGATACAAATTTTCATGTTTAAGTGTTGTAGTGGGCCAGTACCACAACAATCATCTTTTGGGCTTTTTCCTCTGATAACCTTAATATAGCAATCATCATTGGATATAACACAAACACACTTATAAAAAAAAAAAAAAAAAAAGACACAAACACACAATCACCCCGAAACTTTACTCAATCTTGGCGCGTGTTTGTGTCACCCCAGTCCCCATGGAGGCTTCATAGGCTTTTTTACCAACATGCTATAAACATTAAAAATATACACCAAAATACTGTATTTTTAATAGTATTTATTAATATGCTACATTTAAAATGGTTCTTTAGATGAATAATTTTTAAAGTTATTCTTCTGATGAACAATTTCTTCAAAATCAGTCATCAATATGTGTGAAGTGACTGAAAATCGTTCTTCTAACAAATGATTTTGAAATTTCATCTCCTGTCAAATAACTTCTCACCTTCTCTCCTAATAAATGAAAATAAAATGATTAATATAATAATTTATCAATCATTTGAATGAAAAATCATGACTTCATAATGGGAGGAAAGTGTTGATAATTACATAATAATATTAAAACTAATCGTGAAATGAGTATAAAATGTATATTAATTAAAAATAAAAAGTAATAAATATGTTAGAATACTCCTAACGGTGTTAAATAATTGGACTAAATTGAATATTTTTAAAATAGAGATGAGGTCTATATAATTGATGCAAACTAGAAGTATGGTCAAAATATTTTACTCTTGATTCAAAACACTAATGTCACAGCAAATCATTACCGATTAAAAAATGCAACATAACAAATAGCAGGAAAAAGGCAAAATGAAGAAAAGAAATTACGAGTGCCCTTGATTCATTTCAGGTTTTTATTACTTACACCTTATTTTAACCTAAAAAATATATGAAAGCAATAGTTCACTTGAGGTGGGTATAATACTTTTTTTTTTTTAACCAACTTAATATATGCCACATATTTGATATTTAGAGTGTATATATATAATTGTTTTTCAGTTTTATCTTACCAAATTTAAACTCTTGGAGAAGTATACTTTCATAAGAAAAAATAATAATCATATACTAAAAAAAGATTGGAACTTATATCAAAATCTTAATATCTTAAAATAATATAACATATGATAGTTTTACCGTCAAAATAAAAGACACATAGCTTAAAAAGAATACAAATATTCCAAATTGTTGAATCCACCACTCACCTCCTGAAAATAAGAATAATGAAATATTAGCTCCTCAAGGGTAGTATGGATGAAAAATCAATTTCTATATCGCAACTGCAAATTTTTTTTTAAAAAAATCAAAGAGAAACAACATACCGACAACAGCAGCAATCGAGCTTATCAAGTGTTTAGGAATAGAGTGAAAAATAACAGAGCAAGAAAACAATGAAAATAGAACAAGTGAACCACTGAAAAGAAGAAAAAGAATAAGCAGCTCCGGGATGATAGGAGACGAAGTAGGAAATAAAAACTGAACATGTAAATATATAAAAGCATGCAAATTGCTGTGGCTTTGCGAGTTTGCATGGAAAAAAAGAATTATGTTGACAAGTGAGAGAAGCGAGCAATGGAAAGGAAATAGCAGAGAGATTCTCATATGAGAAATGAATAGTTAAAAAGTGAAATCATTCACATCAAAAACAATTTTACTTTTTATCATATAACATACAAATTGTTCTTGACAAGAATGAGTTGTGTATAATTTGAAAATCATTCTTGTCAAGACTAATTTTAAATATAACATACTGATAAATATTTTTAAAATTATAATATTTTAGTATATATTTTTTCTGTTTGTAGCGTACTAGTTTAAAAAAAAAAAAAACCAGGCTTCATATTTTGTAGTTCGGGTTAAAAAAAAATTGGTTTCTTATGGCCGGCCTCGGTCTAGGGTGGGGGTCGCTTCTCCGCGGCTGCGGTCTCGATCTGGTCTCAATCGCCACGTTGGCAATGTCTAATTGGCTGAGAGGATATGATTCCGTCCATCCATGTGCGCCGCACCGTGGTTTTCTATCATTGTTTTCGTTTGTCATTACTCACTTTTCCGTCTTCTTTTTGATTTCTTCCTTCTGTTTGTCCTGCTACTTTTATGAGAAGTGGGGCTGTGAGGGGCTGCATTTTTCACCATCCCTTTTTTTCCCCCACGTGGTTTCATATATATACACACACACACACATATATATATATATATTAAAAAAAGGGGGTCTGCACCTCCGTAGCTTATTTGACTGTTGTTAAGACAAAAAATGGAGGAAACAATGTCCTACCATCCAAGCAGCACAGGCTGTAATTAACTAATTGCAGTATTTGGCCCCGCGGGTTCCGCCCCCAGAAATTTTAATGGTTAACTGGGGTTTAACAGAGTTTGGAAGCTCAACCATGATGTGTTAATTTTTTTTTTTTAAAAAAAATTTGATTCGGAAAAAATCGTGAAGTTGGACATAACATTATTGTCAAGGTATGACATGATTCGAATCCTCAGTTTTTCATATGGTTATGGGATTGAATTATATTTGAACATTATCATGTTTAATTGAAAATAATTCTCTCAAATATATTTTTCATATTTACATGAATTCAAATTTGAGACCTTTTGTTTATATATATATATATATATATATTTTAAAAAAAAATATGCTAGTTTTATATGCGGTTAAGTAGAAAGATAAGTAACTTTAACTTTTTGCCCTTTCTGCAAGAGTACATGAAACTCGTACTTTTTTATTTATGGGTATGTGTATTCTTTTAATAAATAAAAGTGATTCTATTCGAGAGACTCAAATATTCTATGTGAATCTTTAGCAAGAATTTAAACCTTATTCACTATATTGTAAAGGAGTATCCTTTTTATTTTTACTAGACTCAACCTCAAACTTATATTTTTTTTATTATATATATAATATTCACGTACGTATTAATATATTGTTATCTGAAAAAAAAATGATAAAATGATT